TGGCCTTTAAAAAGCGGGGGGGTTGAAAGACAGCAATCCAGCGAAAGTTTGGCTAGAAGTGCTGTTTAGGGCGGCCCGTTTCAATAGACAGCCAAGCATTAACGCTGTTATAGGGACTTGCAGCAGCACTTTAACAGCCACGGTCGCCGAACTGCATATCCAAGGCACTCGGAAGGGTTGGCAACGACGCATCCTGCATGTTTGGGACAACTAGAAGGCACGCAAGACATGATGTCTTGTCGCACGTTCTCAGTGTGCCTGCAACATTCATTGGCTGTGCGTCCATGAATTTTGCCTCTAACCTGACATTGGCTTGCTCGACGTTCGAAGACAACTGACCGTCGGAGCCAAAAGTTGTAGGAGATCCCTTAAGCCCTCAGCCCTCGCTGACCTTATCCCTGGTTTTGTCACACTGCTGCTTACTTATGCACCCTCGAAGCAAGAGGGTGCCAGGCTTCAGTTCAACACCATAGGGGTCCCTTTGTATCCAAACAGGCACGTTTAAAGCATCTGAGTGACAGGGAATGCAGCACCATACCTGCGTGTTTTCCAGATTAGCCATTCTATCTCAAAGTGCAGCGTGCTTCGGTCAATACGCTTACCGCGCATGGGCAACCCTGAGCCTGGTCAAGAAGATGATGAATAGGAACCATTGTACGGGTAACAGCCTGGTGAACGTGGCATCGCCATGAGGTCCCCTTCCAGGCCGATTTCTCGCACCAGGCTCTCGCAGGAGGCATAAAGCCGGCCTCTTCTGGCTGGTGCGTTGGGGGAATAGAAACGGGATCGATGAAACGGGGTCAAATTGGGGCATAACAGGGATCCACTGCCGAGCTCCAGTAATTCTCTTGAGGCTGGCTCCAATCTAATTTGGGTTTCAGGGTATAAGCATTAGGCGGGGGTTCAGTGGTCTAGGCCCTTAGGATTGCCAAATATTCGGCAGCTTCCTGACCCAAAGCTTCTCCAGCAACCCAGAACTTGAAATCAAATGAGCGTCATTCCCGAACCTGATGACATTCCTTCACTGAAAGAGCTTTGGAGTAGCCAGCATGAATGGTGAGTTTCTCGAAGTATCTCTGCGCAATCCTGAGTAGAGACCCTCATTCTCTCCCTACAAACCCTACAATTCCCCAGCGTCTCTGACACTCCCTTCGTTTCTCACAAACTCGAAAAGCTGGCAAGGCACACGTAGTGGCAGACCTCAGCCGCTTCAAAAAGAGAGGTGGCTGACTTACCAGGTCAGCTGTTGAGGGTTCAGGGTGAAGAGTTTAGGGGTAAGAGAGGTTTCTGCGCTCCGAAGTTCGAAAGCAACTGCCGGCCCAATAATTCCATGTTCCATAGATGCTGTTTTGCATAGCGCTCGCAATGGTAGCATGCAGTGGCAGCGCGCATACCACACGCCATTAAGTCACAAAAGCGTTTGGGACAGCAACATCGTAGCACAAAGAGGTCAGGCAGATGATCCACTCGTTTTGCAAATACATGGATAGCATGGACCCTTGACACACCTGAATCCACCCCATATTGGCCTTGCGACTCGATTGCTTCAGAGGATTGGGCAGACACGTAGAAGAGATGATAGACATCCGATTTGGGATTGTCTAGGGCTTAGGGACTGTAGCTTCCAATCAACCACTACTTGGCCTGCAGCTACACAACCAGCAGGGCTTAAGTCCGCCTCTCTTTGCTTCCAACTAAGTTAATGGCACGGAGCTGGGTCAGGATGCACAAGACATGAGAAATCAACCTCTTTAATCTGCTAGTCCGAGGCTGAAACCAAGAAAGGTAGGCATTGCCACAAGAGTTTGCATGGCATTGCATGGCTAGGTCAACAAAGAAAAATCGAAGGGTTTTTTGACAAGACTCTACAATCTGCATCTACAAACTCATTGCAGCCAAGCCACGACTGCGTGCCATGCCAGAAATAATTGCAATCTTCGTGGTTCTTGCATTTCGCCTTGCCAAAAGTGCTTACAAACGCTGCAAAGACACTGAAAGCGTAGACCAAGCAGACTCATCTCAGATTGATGCAGTCCGGTGCCTCGCATACTTCGTACTCCATAGTTTCCGTGTCGCTCTCGAAGTATACGCCAGGGTTCTCCAGCAAGTTGCGATTTGGGCAGACGAACTCCCCCGCTACCAACCTGTCTGCATCTTTTTCGGACGCAAAGTTAATTTGGAAACTTTTGCGGTTTTGGGGTGATTTGTTTTTTGCTTTGTGCATATTTTTGGGCAAGTCTCGGGCGAGAGCTCGCTTTACGCTGAGAAATGATGAAAAATGATGAAGTCTGATAAGAAATTGTGAAAACATGAGAGCTGATGAAAAATACAAAAATTGATCCACAATTATGAAAACATGAAAATTTTGTTCATGAAATATGATGAAAAATCATGAACAAGAGTGAAATTGATGAAATATGATGAAAATTGCGACATTCTATGTAAAATGGTGAAAGGTAATGAAATGAGGCGATCATGATGAAATATGAAGAAGAATGATGGAAAATGATGAAAGAACGATGGAACATTATGCAATGATGGAACATGATGACAAGGGATGAAAAGGGATCAAAAGTGATGAAAATGATGACAAAGGTTCAAACATGATGAAACACAGGATGAACTATGACCGAACATGATGACATATGATGACTAGTGATGAAACCTCATGAAGATGCTGAAACTGATGAAGTATGATGAAAAATGATGGCACTTATATAAACGATGAAACATCATGAACAACATGGGATTGATGAAAACCATTGAGAAATTATGGCAAATCATAGAAACTGCTGAAGGATGATGGAAAATGATGAAACATTGATTCCGACAAAAAACTGAGACATTTAAGGACCGGATAATCCCGCATGTGTAGCTTTATCGGAATCTAAGAGAATAAGAAGAAGAAGAAGAAGGGGGTAAAGAAAAGATCGAAGAAAAGATGGCAATCGGCGGCAAATCGAAGTGTGACTTTTGAGGGGACAAGGAATCGGGAAGTACTGCGTGGAATGTCAGCAGCCGGTAGAGCGAGGTGGGGGAGGGTCTAGAAGAGGAGTTTAAGAGGGATGGGAGGCCGGGACCCGTGTTGTTCGCGGGAGGGTCTAGAAAACGAGTTTAAAAGGGGAGAGAGAGGGGACCCGAGATGTTCGCCGAAGGGTCTAGAGTCTAGAAGAGGAGTTTAAAGGGGGCAGTAGCAGGGACCCGAGATGTTCCCGGGGAGGGTCTAGAAGAAGAGTTTACAGGCAGGAGAGGCCGGGACCCGAGATGTCCGGGACCCGAGATCTTCTGCGGCGATGGTCGGTCGGGACGGTCGGAGCGGGCGATTGTAACTTAAAATTATAACTCGACGGAGAATGTGGGGAAAACAACTTTAAGAAATCATCAGAAAATGTGGATCAATGAGGAAAATCATGAAAAATGCCAGGGGGGGTTGGGGGGGAGCGCAGCCCGCCCCATGTGCAAACAAATGACCTGTATAACCATCCCTCATTGCAAACATGGTGATGACATGATGCTTCTTTGTTACGGCAAGCATGGAAGGCCTTCAAAGAGGTGGGGGGGTTGAACTCCATGAGGAGCATGGAAACAAGTGAAGCAGCATGGAGAACGATTAAAACAATGTGACATTGATGAGCAGTCATCAAGTTATGCAACATGATGCAAATGATCAAAAATATGCAACTGCTGAAAGATGATGGAAAACATGATGAACATGATGAACATGACGAAACATTGTGACACATGATGGAATACGGCAGGTACAAAGCAGAAAGGAAGAAACAAGAAGCAAAGCAACAACAATCGCAGATAGCAGCCATCGGGAAGCTGAGTGCAGTCAACGAGAATCGCGAAACTATTATCAGGAACAATGAGCACTCAGGAGCTCGCAGGCAGCAAGAAACAGGAAACCAAAAGCTGACAGCAAAAAGTAAGAAGCAGGAAAGAGAAAGCAAACAGCAGAAGGCATGAAACAAGAAGCAACAGGCAGAGAGCAACCA